TTTAGCGTTGCTACTCAAGGCTTGGATGTGTTCTCCAGTTTCTTCCACTTGAGAAATGATGAGCACGTTCTTCTCTTTCAGTCTTTTAGCTCCAGCTCTGTACTTTTTGTTATATTCTGCTTTGTCATCTTCTCTTTATCTCTCTCACTTTAGCATTTCCCCTCTCTGTTTTGGCCCACCTCCATTCTAGCAAAAGTTTCAGAGTCTCTCCGGTCATCCATTTTGGTCTTTTCTTTCTATCCTGTCTTTGTAAGGACCTTTCGATTTTTGTGGGTGATACCCTTAATGCTGCCCCACAACTCATCTGGTGTTCAGTCATTTGTGTCAAGGTATCAGATCTATTCTTGAGACAGTTTTAAATTCAGGTGAGATAGACTCAAGATCCTGTTTTGGTTCTTGAGGGTTTGTTTTAATTTTCTTGCACTTGATTTGCACATGAATAACTGACGGTCTGTTTCACAGATCTTATTTTGACTGCTGATAGTTAGCTTCTCTATCGACTTTTCTATCTTGTCGACTTTTTCCACAAATGTAGTCAATCTGATTCCTGTGTAGTTGATCAGACGAGGTCCATGTACATACTTACTCTTTATTTTTTAAAAGATATTTGCAATGAATAAATATATTATACAAACTTCCACCATTCAATCTCCAGCCTCATTTCTGTCACCAACACTGTATTTTCCAACTATTAGTCCTTCTTCTTTTCCCCACCTTTTGCATTCTAGTCACCAATTATTGCTAATTGCATGTTTGAGGTTTTAAAAAAAATTTTTAGACTTTCCCCCCCTTGTTGTGTACTGTCAAATTAGATCCAGCTGGCACTGGAGGAGATTGCTCCTCCTTCCCCAACACAACATCTGGTGGATTTGAACTGTGTGCCTTCAGGATTGCAGCGCAGCTTCTTGCCACTAGGTCACCAGAGCTTCCTTCATGTTTTGAAAGCTGTCAGGCAAGGACAAGGCCCTCAGGGTAAGCCTCACTGGACAGAGGACTCACGGAGTACACTTTCTCTCAAACTCTTGAAGCCCTGGGCTCCTGGACTCAGCTTTTGCCTTTAAACATAGGACCTTCACTGACTTGTGGCCTGAGAAGCCTGTCAAAAGTAAAATGAGGAGGGGAGGAATAGAGAGAGGGGCTTTATTTCTTGTTTTCTCCCCCCACCCTCCACCCTTGCAGCCTGGTTTTGGAGGCCTTCCAGACCACCCTACATGACCACAGTGATGTCTCTGTTCTGGCTATTGGTATCCCTCCTGTGTGGGACATTTACCATTAGCAACAAAGGATCTAACATTTTGTGGAGTATCTAATGCAGTTGCCCTCAGCCTTGCATGTCCATCTGAATCACCTGGTGGAAGTGGGGTGTGGGTGCTGAAAACACGATTTACTAGTGCCACCGCTAGGGTTTCTGATTCAGTAGGTTGGGATGGAGGTCTGGTGGCGTAGGCCAAAGGAGCTGAACTGCTAAGTTAAAGGTGGCGCCTCTCTGGTGGTTCATGTCCATCAGTCACTCCTTAGGAAAAAGATGGACATCTCCTCTCATGTGATTGACAACCTCTGAAAACTTGCTGGAGGGTCAGTTATGAGTTGGTTCCAAATCCGTGGTTTTTTGAGGGGTTGAAGCTCAAGGATTTGCATTTCTAACAAGTTACCAGGTGATTGATTCAGAAGCTATTTTCCCAGATCTACACTAGAACATCTATTTGACAGATTTGTTATTTTACATCTTATTACCTCAATACGTCTCACCATCAATAATCAGCAGTCAAAAAAATCAAAATATGTGTTACATTGGAGAATCTGCTGTCAAGGACTTTTCCAAGGTGTTAATGAGCAACAATGTCAGATTAAAGACTAAAGATGCACCTGATTCAAGTCATAGTCTTTTCAATTACTTGTTATGCACCTTAAAGTTGGACAATGAATGAAGGTGACAGAAGAATAATTGGTGCCTTTGAGTTGTGGTGTTGGAGAAGAGCACTGAACATCTCATGGACGTCCAAAAGGACAAATATATCTTCAAGAAGCTTCAGTGCTTCTTAGAGGCAAGGATGATGAAATTTTGTCTCACATACTTTGGGCATATTGTTAGGAGAGGCTTATTCCTTAGAAAAAAGACATTATGCTTGGAAATGTGGAGGGTCGAAGAATGAAAAGATTCTCAATGACATACTGACTCAGTGAGTGTAACAACGGGCTCAAGTGTATCACAGATGATGATGGTGTCACAGGATGAGGCAGGATTCAGATCTGCTATTCATAGGGTCACTATGAGTTATAGTCAACTGAAAGGCACTGAATAACCACCCTCCAAATTCCCTAGGTTGTGGGGATGGTGCAGGTTAGGGCTGCACTTTCTTTGTTACCACGGACTCAACAGCACTTAACAACATGTTTCACAAGAGGGAGCTCTCTAGTGTCTCCTCCTTGGCGAGTTACACTGTTATTACCCAAAGGCTGTGTCTCTGCCTCCCAGGCAGTTCTAATCCCCGGTCACTCTTCAAGAAAGATTGGCAGTCTCCCCGTTAGGATTTACAGGCTTGGACAGCAGTGAGTGTTTCATGCCCAACAGCAGTCAGGTTATGATCTTCATGTAACACGTGAGGAAACCAAAGCAAGAATACTCAAGGATTTGTGCAATGTCACTCAGGTAGAAATCTAAGCCTGTTCTAGGATCAATCTTCCATTTCTACCTTAATCTTTTACATCATTAATTATTTTTCTAATTAATGTAGGAGTCCTTAACGGTGCAAATGGTTAAGCTCTTGACTACTAGCCAAAAAAGTTGATAGTCCCAGATCACTCAGAGGTGTTAACAGAAGACAGGCCCAGAAGTTCATTTCCAAAAGGTCACAGCCTTGAAAAACCTATGGGGCAGTTTCACTATGCACACACACAGGCTTCTGCAATGAGTGGAACTTTGTAACAACTTTCATATCTATTTTATGCCTCCGCAAATAGTAACATTTCCTTTTGTACACTGTATCTCTGATGTTGCCTAACCAAGTTTTCTTCCATGTTCTGGCTTTACTGTCAAGAGGCTGAAGGAGTTGAGAAACAAAAATACCCCAAATATTCCAGGAGCTACAAAACTGGGGGTGGAGGGGAGTCACACTTAGATTCAGAAACATCTGGCAGGAAGTCACTTTTCTCAGGGCATGAATGGAGAAAGGAGATTTCTGTATGTCTCCCAATGGGAGCACCTAATTAAACAGCTCAGTGAAGTTTAGTCATGAGGGTGGGAGAGGGCCAGAGAGCATGCTGCAGCAGACAGGAGCTACGAGGAGTGCCAACTGGGAAACAGAAGGGAGAGGCCAGTGCCAGAGCCACAAACAGTTTCAGAGTGCAGTAAGAGGGACTGAGAGAATACTGGGGATGGTTGGGGAAACTGATGTGGTGATGCTCCTGCTGCCCACGGAAATCAGAAGTTTGTTTAGTTCAACACTCTTTGGCTCTCACCCATCTGTTGTTTTCTGAGAAGCTCCAACAGTAATGGCTATTGGCCCAGGTTCCTCCAGCCCCAGTAGCATCACACTGCCAGAATAGCTAGGACTCAAGTTATTTCAGATAGGGGCTCCTGCAGGTTCTGAAGTAGGTGTTATCTATTTCTGCAGAGCACCAGGTCTACGAGAAGGTGGGTGTCAGGTTACCAAGTCTATGGTACTTTGTGGGTCTGTGGAATGGGAGCTGTTGTGTTATGTGCCGACGAGTCGCCTGCAACCTTTGGCAATCCTATGTACAGCAGCTTTGAACCCTGCCCTGGAATGGGACTATCAGGGATAAAAACTTGACTTCCACAGCGTGGAATGTCTCTCTTCAGCAGACCTAGGAGTCTACCCGATACCTGACAGCTTGTCGAGACAGGAACTGAGCAGACCCAACAACGTGCGAAGGGAACCCAAAATACAGTGGAACAGGAAGTGAGGGACAGAAGAGCAGTGGGGGAAAGGATACAAGAGCCCCTCTCGGAAGAGGCTACCCCCCAGGGATTGACTGGAGTCAGAGCACTGCTCCAGTGTGATAGTGTACCCCTGTCTGCACAGCCCAAGGCTAGAGGTCTAGTCTCTCTCTTGTGGAACTGAAGGCCAGGAGGCAGCAGGGGGTTTTACAGGATACAACTACCCAGCTATCTTCAGCTGCTGCAAGGTCACGTAGAGGCACTAACTCCTGGGAGTCCCTCTCTCCATTCAGCTCTACTATGAGCAGGCTGCGACCAGCTCACCCATGGATGGGAACAGAATCTCCAGGCCTGCTCATCCTGCTTTGGGAGGCAACCTGGGTGGCTGAGCACGTTTGCTCTCACTGCCCTCCCCAGCTACAGAAAGTGACAGATGTTGGTCATGTCTCCTTCTGTGCTTTACAAATATGGATGCAAATGAAAAAACCCCACCCAACCCCCCCAAACCAAAAATGCAATGCCTTGCTCCCTTGAGTTTCCTGGTTTCCCTTTGGTGTTGAAACTTGGACTTTAGTTTGTATAATCACATTTTTAGGGGGCAAGTTTGGGGATCCTTTACACACCTCTCTAGTCCTCTGTCTCTTCCAGCTTCTTGGATTCCCCATTTTCCTATTTGATAATTTGGAGGTTCATACAAATGTTGATTCCCCAAGTAACTTGCCTCCCTCCCAGATTTTTATTCCCTTCTCAGCCCCTTGATAAATAGACACACAGAACTGCAGGTTTCAAAGTGGAAAAAAAAGCAAATTTGTTGTCTTGGGGAGAAGGAGTGATGGGGAGGGCTCTTCACCTTCCCCAACATTTTATACAGACTGGAAGCTGGGCATCAATAGAAAAGGCAGTAGGTGGGGGCACATGCCCCTCTCTGTACAATATAGAAGAATCTGATATAGATACTTTGTATAAAAGCGACTTTTCCTCAATTGTGTCCTTTTGCTGGTCAGCTGGGTTGGGAGGGCAATGGGGGACAGAGAAGCTGGGGTAGGAGGCCGGGACACAGGCCGCCCTGTGGTCCCCGTCCTCTGGCTGTACCCTTGCAGGGTCACTTTGGATCCTTGGTTGGAGCGTAGCAGAGCTCCAGAGGCCGAGACACCTTCCAGAATTTCTCATTCACTAGCTCCAGGGTCAGTGAGCCATTCAGCGTCTAGGGAAGGGATGGAAAAGAGAGGCAAAGATGAGTAAAGTTGGAAAGACGGTGTAGGAAATGAAAAGCAGAAGGTGAGCAAGGACAGAGAGAAAAAGAAAGAGATGGAGGGGAAAGCAGGGGGACACAGTGGCATGCCAGGGAAGAAAAAGAAGCGATAAGGGAGATGGAAATGGAGAGAAGAGGGCTGGTGAGTTAGGTCAGGGTATGGTTCTGTCTACCCCTCTCCCCCAACACAACTCTCACCGTGAAAGCTCCACCACCAGGGGCGATGTAGATGGTGTACTGCTTCTCACTGACACCCTCCAGACTGGGCAAAGCAGGCTCCTCAGGGCCGTCACTGCCTCTGGCACCCCCGCCCTCCCCGCCACCCCCATCAGGTCCTCCAGCGTCAGAGGGAGCCCCTCCAGGGCCTCCTGGCTCCCCTGCCTCTTGCTGCTGCCTCCGCTCAAGGGCAATGCGCAGGGCCAGGTACTTGGAGAGATGGTCCACTGTGGCATTCCCAGTTGTCTTCACATACCTGAGAGGGGAAGGGGAGGTTTAGGACCCAGAATGGCAAACAGAGCAAAGCAGACAGGGGACTGTCCAAAAGGGCCTCTGGGTTCAGGTTTTCTTTCTGGGTTAGCGCACTCATGATGGAAGTCTATGTGATCTTTGGTGTCTTTGCAGTCTTGGGAAAAGACAGGGCTCCTCACCTAGTCTGGCAGTATTCTCCCTTTTCCACGAGCAGGGGGTGGGGCCGGAACACGAGCTCGATTTCTCCACCTGGCTCTGGGGGACTGGGAGCCCCAGGAGGGCTTGGGGGTCCGAGGGTTCCCCCTCCCAGAGTTCCTCCCCGGTCAACAGAGTCTTCAGAACCAGCACCCCCACCCACCCCGCCAGTGCCACCAACCCCTGTCCCTACACTGCTTCCCCCGGCACCCCCTCCACGGGGTCGCTTGGGAGCAGGGCCTGGGGCCGAGTCAGGGGCAGAGTCTGAGCTCACATCCTCTCCATCCCCTTCTCCCTCCCCAGGTTCTCCTTCCCCCCCACTCATCGTTGTGGTCTGATCGGACCCAGGCATCGGCCGCCTCACTCGCTGGGCCCTGTGGAAACAAGTGGTTGAGGTTAGAAAGCATTAAGGAGAAAAGATTTAGACTTTAAACTTCAGAGTATTAAGAGATCAAGCAACTCTTAATGATTCCTAATACTTATTAAATACTAATCACAGGCTAGGCCCCATGCTAAATGTTGTACTCTGGTCACCTCACTTTATGAAGGAGATAATTCATTATCATATAGCTAGGGAAAGTAAAGTTTAGAGAGATTAGGCAACACATTTTTTTCAAAATTTTTTTCTTATTTTCTTTTTCTTTTTTTTTGGGTGTGTGTACCGTCAAATCGGATCTGACTGGTACAGGAGTACAGGAGATTGCCCCTCCTTCTCCAGCAGGGCATCTGCTGGATTAGAACCACAACCTCTGGGACCCATTTAAGATCTCAGAACTCCACTTTTCAAAGGGCAGTCTAAGAACCAGTAGCATCAGCATCACCTGAGAGCTTTCTCTAGATCAACTGCTTCAGAACTTTAATTTTTACTGAGATTCTCAGTTGATCTGGAAACTGACTAAAGTTTGAGAACTGTTGGCTTACGGTGTAATTTAATCTCCAAGACTATGAATTTAGAGTTTATATTCAAAATTATCACTGTTCTAATTTCTAGACAGTAAGAGAGTACTTAAGAACAGTAATACCAGGTGCTTTTTAAGAAGCTTCCATTTCCATCTCTGGTTTCCAGGCCTGAGAGTCAGGTGTTGTCAGCAGCTAGAATGTTGAGGCTAAGGGCTATGGGCTGGCTAGCAGCAAAGCCAGCACAGGGAAGGTGACCATGGAGCTGTTCCACTGACTGGCTACCCTTTCTCCTAGTCTCAGTACCTGTGCATGGCCTGCATGCGCAGACCCTCCTCGATGCTGGAGCTCAGTGCCTGCTGGTTGTGCAGGCGGCTGAGGCGGATGAGCACCCGGTCTTGGTGGGCTTCATATTCCTCCCGGCTGGGATAGATCTTTGAGACCAGAGCATCAAAGTTAGGGTCTGGCCGAAGAGACCTCTTGGATACCAGCTTCTTGCGACAGGTGGGGCACTCCTTGTTTCTGGGAAAGGGGAAGTGCTGCATGATCAGTTACTAGAGCACTGGATCCCAAGGTAAACCAGGACCCATGAGGGAACCCCAGTCTGCATCCTTTCATCTCACCTCAAACATGCCCCTCCTCTTACCCGCTCCTGAGGGCTGTGACGATGCAGTCGGAGCAGAATCGGTGGAGGCACTCCTTGGTGGTCATTGTATTCTTCAGCATGTCCAGGCAGATGGGACACATGAGTTCTGAGTGCAGCGACCGAGGGGAAACGGCAATCTCTGTGCCATCCATGATGGCTTCCTAGAGACATCAGTGAGTAAAAAGAGGGTGGTGGGTTGGTTGGGTTCTAGACACAAGTGGTCCAGGAAATAGGACTTGTGAGAAATACAGTGTAATGGTAATGGCAGCTGCTCGAGGAAGGTGGGAATTGAGACAGAGAGAGGCACTGACTAGGAGAGAATGTAGAACTGAAAGGATCTGAGTCACTGACCAAGAATAGGGATTTTAAAATAGAAGAATCTGAGTCTGGGGAGGAGCCTGGGGGTAAGGGTGGAATGGCACAAATTTATGGTTTGAGACTAATCTACTAAAATTTCTAAAAGTGTGGTTCTGGTATACCTTTATTAGAATTCTCTAGGCCGCTAGTTAAAAATTCTGATTCTGGGACCCCATATCAACTACTGAATCAGAAAGTTTGGGGTGGGGCCAGGGAAGCCTCATTTTTATTTTATTTTACTATGTTGTGTGTGTGTACCATCAAATCGGATCTGACCGGTACAGGAGGAGATTGCCCCTCCTTCTCCAGCAGAGCATCTGGTGGATTTGAACCACGTACTTCTGGGATTGCAGTACAGCTTCCTGGGACGCCTCACCCTCTATGAGGTGGATTGATTCAGTGACTGGGGAAATCGGGATGGGTGTGTCAGAGGCAGTGCAATTGGCACAGGATAGAGCAGGGTTTAGGGCTGTTGTACATAGGTCGCTATGAGTTGCAAACGACTCCCTGGCATATAACACCAACAATCTGCCTTAGAGTTGACTCTGACTTATGGTGAACCCATGTGTGCCAGGCAAACTTTGCTTCATAATAATTTCACTTGCTGAACTCCACACAATATGTGCTAGGGCAGAACGGTGCTCCAAAGGGTTCTCACTGAGATACTGGAACTAGATCACCAGGCCTTTCTTCTGAAGCTCATTTGGATGGACTGGAGCTTTCAACCTTTTGATTAGCAGCCAACTGTTAGCTTTTCACACCACAAAATAACTCCAAACAAACTTCTAAAGTCAGCCTTATATGGAACCTTCCTTATTGATTGGCCCAAGATGTTTGTTGTTTTTGTTGTTATGTGCCTTCGAGTCACCTGCGACTCATAGCGACCCTATCTATGTACAACAGCCCTAAACTACGCTCTGTCCTGGGCCAATCGCACAGTCTCTGACACTCCGAGCCCAATTACCCCAGTCACTGAATCAATCCACCTCATAGAGGGCCTTCCTCTCCTGTGCCGTCCATCCACCCACCTAAGCATGATGTCCCTGTCTAAGGACCGGTCTCTCCTCACAACATGTCCAAAGTATGTTAGACGGAGCCTCAGAATCCCTGCCTCCAAGGAGCCACCCGGTTTAACCCTTTCCAGGACAAATCTGTTTGTTTTCCTAGCAGTCCATGGTATTCTCAATACTCTTCTCCAGCACCACAGCGCAAAGGAATCAATTCTCCTTCTACCCACCCTGGTCATTGTCCAACTCTCTGATGCATAACAAGTGATTGCGAAGACCATGGCCTGTATCAGACGCACCTTAGTCTCCAAAGAGACACCATTGCTCTTCAGCACTTTGGAGAGGTCCCTAACAGCAGACTTTCCCATTGCAATGCGCCTTTTAATTTCCTGGCCCAAGATAGTGAGCTAAAAAAGTAGAGCAGGTCATTTCCAACTTATTGTCCTTCAAAACAGATTGCAATACTCTTCTACATCCCTGGTTGGGTTGTTTAGAGGTCTAAATAGAAACAAATGTATACGTGCTTTAAAGAGATTTAAGATGATTCAAAGGTAGGGTGGCTTTGATGGCATAGCGACTAGGGAGTTGAGCTAACCTAAAGGTGGCGCCTCTCTGGTTCAAATTCACCAGCAGCTCCGTGGTGGAAAGGACAATTTCCTTCCGTGTGATTTACAGTCTTGGAAATCTGCTGGAGGGATAAGCTATGAGTCAATTCGGACTCCACAGCAATGAGAGAGAGAGAGAGAGATAAAGGCCAAAGAGTCTGTGAAGTTTGGCCAGATTAGCCGAATGGAGCAAAGAATGAAAAAGAGGCTGCGTGATGAGGGTCCAGGGAGTGAAGGATCTGGGAGGGAGGGGCAAGCTTTGCGGGAGGATTTCTTAGTTACCTGCGGAGTCCGGTGCAGCTCATAGAGGCTGAGTTCCCACGTTTTACTGGCATTCTGGGCATTCGCAGGCGTCGTCATGGTGACCAGACACAGCTCTCCCACCAGAGCCCAGCTGCAGAGGAGGGGGAGAGGAGGAAGAGGAGAAGGAATAGAGGAAGGTTAGGAGGGAGGGAGGGCCAGAGAGGGCTGCCTCTCGCGCAGACCCCGCCCCTCCCAAGCGCCCCCCACCTCGGTCCCAAATTGCTGCAGCTCCTCACCCGGCTCCAGCCGTCCAGGCGTCCCGGCAGCTGTCTCGCCTCTCCCTGGGCCCCGACTCCCGGGCTAAAGTCGCTCCGTCGCCAGCCCCTGCTCAGACAGCAGCTCCCGCCAGCGCCACCGCCATGGCACGGGCGCAGGGCCCTACGTCACTTCCGCCTGCCCCTCGGCTCCCCTCCCCGGGCGGCTGAGACGTCAGCCCTGCTCCGGGCGTGGGTGGGACGCGCCGCGGAGGCCGGGCTGCCTCCGCCCCCGACACGGGCCGCCTCCCGGGAGGAGCCGGGATCGCCCGAGCCCCGCGCCACGTGGGAGCCGCGGGTCCGCCCCTGGCCCGGTACAGTTGCTGAAGTGTCCCCCAACCTTCGTGGCCGTTCCTCTATTCATCCTCCCCACACTTTCAAGTCGGGGGACCTCCGCCCCAGAGGGCGGGGCCTGGATCCACCCGGACCCGCGGGCGGGACTGAAGGCTGGGGGGGGGGAAGGGCCGCCACCCCCACTCTGCGCCCCGTTGGCGGCCCCGGGGAATCACAACCCTCCCCAGCTTCTCTGTAAACTCAGCCTGGGGTCCTTGGGAAAAGAAGCTGCAAAAGATCTTTTGCTCTGCTTCAGCCCTCCAGAGCTGTGAGCTCAGCTGAGTCTCGAGATGCCCCCAGACTACCCTTACCACCCTGGGGACTCCTTCCACCTTTCACTTTGGCTCTCCCTAGACCCTCCGGTCCCCTCTTCCCCTCGAGGTTTGGGGGCGGCGGCTCGGGACGTCCAGACTCAACTCTCGGCCGGAGCCATAGACTCGAGAATTGCGTTTGGACAATCAAGAGCCGGGGCCCGGGGTGGGGAAGGGAGGAGCAGGGGAGGAACGGGGCTCTGGAGACACCACGCGGAAACAGGACACACACACAGAGGATGGGGCCCTTATCGGGAGGGGGCGCGAGCGTGGGGAGGGAGGCATAAAGGGCGGAATGTCTGGAATGGGAAGTGGACAGAAGCCTCCTCTCCAGGACTATCCAATAAAGGGAACTGGGAGGAAAGAGAAGAGGACAGGGCACAGCGATCCCCACTGAGGGCTGGGAGTGAGAGGAATAAGGGAAAGACATTCATAGGCCTCCAGTATCCCACCAGCCCGAGTGGGGGCTCCCGGACTTGGGATGCGCCTACCAGGAGTGGCCTGTCTCTGGAACGGGCTAGCAGTAGGTTCCATCCCCCCACTTCCAAGGTTCCCCCCTACTTCTCTGTCTTCTCCTTCTGTCCGTGGCCAGTCCTTATGTGGGCTCCAGTCGATTAGCGCCGACCCCCTCCCCTTCTTCCTCCTCCTCCTCCTCCCAGCCCCCTCCCTTCTGCTCTCCTCCAGCTCCTTTCATCGTCTGGTCCATTCCCCTAATCCTGGCCCCCTCCCCTAATCCCCCCATCCGACCCCAGGCCGGCTGCAGCTATTGTAAGGTGGAGAGAAAGGGGAGGGGGGACTCAGAGAAAGGAGAAGGGTGGGGGAGGGCCACCTGTTCCAAGACCCCATCCCAAGGCCAGACTGGACACTGGAATGGGGCCAAGCACAAATCATCCTTGGGGACTATAAGGACCCAAGGAGTTGAAGCAGGAGGAGGGGGCTGAGGTGGCAGAGCCAGTGGAAGGGGGTGGCACAAGGACCCCTTCCTCCAAAAAGACCCAGAGTGTCACACATACACAGTGACACACACTCTCTTCTCTCACACCCGGCGGCTGGGGTTGCCCTGGGATACCAGGCAGTGAAAGGGAACAATCCTTTGGGGAAAGGGAAAGAAGGGGGGAGGTGGGGAAGGGTCTGGGGACTTGGACACAAGAAGAACCGAAGGTGGCAGGGAAGAGGATTTGGAATTTATTAGGGTCACAAGCACCCCTGCCTTCTCCCATATTCAGCATTCCAAAACCATACACTGCCATCCCCTTTGTAGCCTGGGAACTTAGAGTCCTCAACAGCGGGAGGTGGGATAAGGTGGTGGGGGAGTGAGCAGAGTCCAGGGTCCTTGAGGCAGTTACATGAAAAGACCTCCTGGGAGGAACAGAAACATTTGGGCAGATGAAAAGGTGGAGAGACAATGGCCTGGAGAGCACCCATTTTTGTCCCTGGCCTACAGGAAATGCAGCCTAGTCGCTGCAGACATTCCCAACTTGCTTTCTCATCTTCTCTAAATCCACTTCTCTGCCCTCTCCCTCCCAACAATGGTCTCATACCAGTAACTTCCACTGAGGCCCCAGTGATGTAGCCACTGTCTTCAGATGCCAAGAATGTGACCACATCTGCCACATCTATGGGAATGGTGGAGAGAGGGCTGAGTCCCTCATAAAACCTCCAAGGCCCCAAAGCAACCATCAATTCTCACCTCAAACAACTTCTCCCCACCCCCGCACACCCTCTTGGGGGTTTTTTCATTCAGGTTCCCTCCCTGATGAGTGCTCACCCTCAGGGTCCCCCATACGTCCCATTGGGATCATTCCAGTCACCTATAAGGAAACAGTCATATGTAGATGAAAGTTTCTTTTATGAATATTTTTGTCCACTGGGTTGAAGTCTGTAGCCATTCTTCTTTTTGTCATTCATCCTTCTGTACACCCATGGAGCATCTGTGATTTGCCAGGCATTGTGCTCAGCATTCTCTCTGAAGCCTAGAGTTTGTGTCTGAATGATTTTCCCCTCCACCCATGGTTTCCTACCTTGTCCAGCACTTTCTGTGGCATTTTCTGTGTCATGGGTGTTCCAATGAACCCTGGGAGGACACAGTTACATCGGATTCCATGTCTGTGGAGGGAGAGTGGATGCTGACTCTGGAGGGGACTTCACACTGACCCATTCACCCCATGCCCCATGAAGGCTTTCCAGAAACTTCAGGTCTGACCCACCGTCCAAGCTCCCGAGCTACAGTCTGCGTCAGTCCAATCACTCCAGCCTTGGAGGCAGCATAGTTTGCCTGTCCCACATTCCCCACCTATTGGTGAGAGATCTCATATGAGTCATTAGTTTTAAGGAGGGGCTATCTTCACTACTCCTACTTCAGCTTAGCCTGACCTTTCCTATGATGCTACTGATGTTGATGATGGAGCCATGACAACCACTGGACACCAGAGCTTGGGCTGCAGCCTGAGTGACTAGAAAGATGCCCTGAGTGGCAGGGAGAGAATAATAAGGCAGAAAAGCTCAGGTGATAGCTCTGGTGATAGCTATCCTGCAATTCCCTCCCCAGGCTCTGGAGGCCACAAGTTACAGGTTCAGAGGTCACCACCTTGAGGTTTACAGCTATGACTTGGTCCCAGTCATCCTCAGACATGTGAAGTAGAAACTGATCCCGGGTGATGCCCGCACAGGACACAACGACAGATGGCGGCCGAGAGAAGCTGGCCTGTGGAAGAGGTTTATACACACATAAACTACAAAGAACAGAGCAGCAGAGGCGATGAGTGTCAGTGTTCTAAGGGGAGCGAAATTAATTCTTCGTGTTCACCTGCACTTGCTCCAGCAGGTGTCTAGCTGCCCCAGTATCAGACACGTCAGTTTGGAAAGCAAGGTGGGCTCCGCAGGATGTCCCTTCCTCGCTCTCCAGGCCGCCCAGCAGCCGCACTGTCTCCTGTGCCGCTGCCCCGTCTAGGTCGCAGGCGGCCACTACGGCTCCCTCCCTGGCCAGGCGCAGGCTAATCGCCCGGCCGATGCCGCCGCCCGCACCTGGGGTGAGAGAGAACACACAGGGGCAGGGGGCACGCAGTGGGCAGGGGTCAGAAGTTACTTGGCAAAAAGTTAATAAAATTAGAACTAAAGACTAGCGGTCACAGTGGCAGCGTGGTTTGAAGGCTCACCCCCGGACACCACTTCGGAATCCCAACCCGCCCAGGGAGAATACCCCTCAACCTGTGACCAGGGCCAGCGCAGAGCGGAGCCGGAGCTGAGACGCCATGGCTGCGAGAGGGGCAGGCCCTACAGCTCCGAACCAATCCGAGCGCGGAGGGGGCGTGCCGTGAACAAAACTGGAGCCAATAGAAGACGCGCCAGCGTTAGGCCACCTGCGGCCACCAGAGTGCGGACCTCCCACCTCGGAGGTGTGGCCAAACTACACAGACGTAGGGGCCTGAGACAAGGGCCCCTCACACCTCTCACCCCTCAAATCAGACAAAGACTACACGTGGGGCAGAAGATTTGAGAGCTTTATTTATGGTCACTACCCTTCCTCTTTAATTCCAACAGTGATATAAAAAAAAAAAAAGAAATAAAGATCAGGCCATGAGATTAGTAATTAACGTCCTCTTCCTCCCCCTTTCCTGATCACTCCCAAATCAGGACACACGATTGATGTTTAATTGATGCGTATTCCCAGATTCCTCTAGTTAACTTCCTCAGTCCAGGGCTCTGGTCTTGTCTGAAGCCTCCAAGCGGTGGGAGAGGAGAAGCCGGTATGTAGTAAATTGGTCCTCAGAGAACAAGTGGCATATGGGACACTGGGTAGGCTGCTGTCATCCTACTTCCCTCCAGCCTTCTCTATAGTTTCATTAGCCCCACAATTCCAATAATTGTGTGCTAGTGGCCAATGATATGGTCCCTCTGGCCTCTCCTCTTCACCTCCATAGCCCCTGCAAGACAGCTAAATACTGGTGGCCATAGTATCAAAGTCACCTATCCTCCAGGCTACAATTCTTTCCTTTGGCAGATGTCTCTGGCTAGGGCCTTCGACTTTAAGAGACCCCTAATCTGGAGTGAGGGACTAAGGGCTTGAAGCAGGGGTGGGGGCTATTTCTTCCACCTCTCACTCAAGGTGGGCAATCAAAACCATCATGACAACTCCAGCTAGGAGCCCCAGCACCTCCAGGAGTGACTGCATTGGTGATACTTCCCTCAACAACTCTGGTAACACAGACACAGTTGCTACATAGATGAAGCCACCTGCAGTGAATGGCAACACCCAGCCAGGACTTGTACCATCTGAAATATCACTGCCTACTGCCCCTCCTTCAGTAAGGAGGGCACACACTGTGCCCACCAGTGCCCCTATTGCCGTCACCAGCTGTAGACGCATTGCCTGGTGGGTAGAAAAGAGAAAGGCATTAGGCAACAGCACCAGAGGATCACTGCTGTGACTATGGCTGGTAGGGTATGGGTATACATGGTAGGGTGCATATCTTTGGAAACTATCAGGCAAAAAGAGAGGGGATTAAAATAGACATTTTCTGGAAAATCTTAAAGAGATCAAAGAGGTTGGAGCCGTAACCCTTTCCAGAGACAGCAGTGAGTCAGGGAGGTGAACATAAACCATAGGATTTATGGGCATTTTAAGAAATACTGAGCTACAAGACAAAGAAACATAAACCCTTCCTTATTTCTAGAAGACTTGTCACTGACAGTAAAACTTGTTTAAAACTAGTAAGAGGTAATCCCAGGTTCACAATGGGTGAGCTAGGATACAGGGCTTCAGACAATGCTTGGTGCAAATAATCACCAACCTGCTTTTTGCTGCAGCCAGACTGGACCAAGATGGCAAAATCCCCAATTTCATGTGGCACTTCATGCAGCAGGACAGTCATAGTGGTCAAGATCCCCAGCCCCCGGCCTCCTCGAAATGAAGCACCAATCGCCAGACCATCTGTGAAGTTGTGTGCCAGATCAGCAGCCAGATTCAGGTATCCTGACACACGCAGGTCTTGGACAAGAGAAGAGAAAGTTGAATTATCAGAGACATCCACCATCCTGGGTTTGGCCCATTTTCACAATTCCTCTAAGAAATCAAGTCACACTCAGGCCCTCAGTGTTTCTCAAATATTTCCTGTTACATGCTGTTCATATTCTAAGTGTACTGGTTCATGATGATGTCCCTTGACCAAGTTGATGCCAACCATGATCCTTACCTGAGCCTGCTGGTTCTTCTTCAAGATTCTGCGGTTTCATTGGCCCATCTTTGGGTCCCGTGTTCCCTCCTTTTCTCTTCCGTGCACCTCCTGTGTCTTTGCCTTCTTCCTCTGAATTATGCTTCTCCTTTGAAGAACAATCTGAGAGAAACAGGAGGATTATAAGAGTGGGGAGCAGAGATTTCCTGACATGTTCTCTAGAGAAAAGTCCTCTCCCACCTAACAGCCATAAAATAGAGAAATAGAGGCAACTTTCAGGAAAGTTGCTCTTGGGCTCACCCTGGTTTCTATAGCCATGACTTCCATGTGCATGGCCATGAGTGTGTCCATGTCCTCCTTTCACATGTCTTACAAACTTCTCCACCATGAGAAAGGCAACAATTCCACCGAGGACCCATAGACCCACAGACAGAATGGGGCCCTGACCTAGGGATGGAAGCAATAAAATGAAAATGCGGAGTTCAAATTCCTCTCCATGTGCATAAGGTGAAGATTAAGGAAAAGCAGACCTTCCCCAGCCATTGTCCCCATTCCATGCCTGTCTGCCCCTTCCTCACCACTGTGGGAATGTCCATGACCAGCTGTGTGCTCCACAGGGTGGCGAGAATGAGGCTCTAGAAGAATGGAGGAAAAAAAGGCCAGAAAAGGGATCAACCAACTCCCCTAAAACTCCACTGCCAATGACTCAAAGCAATAAGTATATACTTGGAGACTGCTGTAAACTCAAAGTTCGCAGAGTGAAAAGAACCTCTCTGGAGAGTACAATATATTATAACCTGAGGTAGAGATTAGAGATCACTTACCCAAGGCATGAGGAATGAGGTGCAGAAAGGCATCTCCCAGAAGGCCCCCTGAAGCAAAACTAAGCAAGATCTGGAGCAGATGGCGACGATGGGGGGAATTTGACTCCACCGGGATAAGAAAGAGGATGAGAAATGGAGCTGCAGAGATCAGCACTGTGGCGCCAAGAGCCTGATGAGGGCGAGGCAGGGATTAACTAATGTGTGGTTTCCTAACAACTAGAACCAGCCCTTCTCTCCCCCATCCTCTGGGAACTCACATAAGCCCAAAGAGTGACAGTGTCCAGGTCCTGTTTGATGCCTCCATGGCTATGTTCACGGTCATGTTCATGTTCTTTGTGGTAGAGGTTCTCATGGGGGTGGCCATGACTATGGTCATGGAGCAAATCTTCATGTGAATGTCCATGGTCATGACCGTGGCTATGTCCATGCCAGATGCTCTCGTGAGTGTGGCCATGGGCATGGCTGTGTCCATGGTGGAAATCCTCATGCGAGTGCCTGTGGCTGTGCCCATGGAAGTCCTCGTGCAGGTCGTCCTGTAGATCGCCATGACCCCCGTGTCCGGCCACCAGCAGCCCCAAGGCCGCCCAGGTCAGCAGTCCCACGGCACCCCAGTGGGGGGCCCCAAGGCCTCTGGCCATTATGCTGACCAGAGGGACAGAGACAATAACTTCACTTGATCTTCAACTCGATACTTACGCGTGTCGTGTTTCACTTTGCTCTGATCCTCCGACCATCTCTAAAAATCATTCCATTCCATTCTGTCCCCACCCACATTGTCCCCAAGACTCGTTTTCTTTATCCCGAATCCCCTCCCGGATGTTGGGTTCCCAGGCTGCCGCTCTAGGCTTTGAACTTCCACATTATGGACTCTCTGGGTTCTCGTCTCTATGATCTACTAGGCAGTGGGGAAAAGTCTGGAAAAGACGGTAGAGAAAAAGCAGGGGAAATCTCACCGGCTCCGGAGTCCTGTCCTTTCGCGGTTTGCTTGGACGTGGCACTCACGCCTTTCGCTCCCGCGAGAACAGGAAACTCCGTTCTCTCTATGTCCCAGTACCTTTACAAAGATGGCGGCATCCCAGTAGCGGCAAAGGCCACATGCAACATGTAAGCATGCGCGAATTTAGAGGTTATTTGAGGAGAGGCTGAGCGAGGCGGGCTAACAAGTCTGAGGAGACCGCCTCCTCCGTTTCAAGCTAGGTGAGGGGGTGGGAACTAGCGCCCAGACTTCCCGTCTATACCAAGATGGCTTCCACATTGGCGCTGTCATTTTGGTACAGAGCAGAGCGAAGGGCTTAATTACAATCTATCTAGGACCAGAGTCTTTTTCTCTGGGGCCTCCTCGTGTTCATCCAGCCCTCTGATTAACCCCTGGGAATTTCTGGCACCTCTCCGATATTCCTACACTCCACCAGGGATCATGTCTTGGGCGGCTCGCCCGCCCTTCCTCCCCCAGCGGCATGCCGCAGGGCAGTGTGGGCCGGTGGGGGTGCGAAAAGAGATGCATTGTGGGGTCGCGTCCCGGTGGCGGCGGCGACGGCCCTGGCTGGATCCCGCAGCGGCGGCGGCAGCGGCAGCCGGAGAGCAACAAACCCCGGAGCCGGAGCCGGGGGAGGCTGGACGGGACGGAATGGGCGACAGCGGGCGGGGTGAGTGTCCTAGCGGACGGGCAGGCGACCGAGTGACCGTGTTATATGCAACTTAACCCCTACCCCCCACCTCCCTTTGCGCTCTTTTCCTGGCGCTCCCGCCCCCTTGTTTGTAAACATGGGTCTCCTCCCTCCTGAGGGCCTTAGCGCCCTCCCCCCCTGGGCGGGGCAGGGAGGGGGAGCTTCCGTCCTCCTAGCCGTGGTCGTTGAGACCCTGTACTTTGAAAGCCCCTGGCGTGGGAAAGACGTGGTTCTCTTGGAGCTTACGGGCTGTCTACGTGTGGAGGCGGATCCTGTGCCCTTGGGAGGGGTCTATTTGGCATATTTCCTTCACCTGCATGAGCTGGCTGGCTGGCTGTGAAGTGGGAACCGAAGGATTTGTTTGGGTCTATTCCACGTGCTGCCCCACCCACAATGGAAGTCTGGCTTGGGGTGACCCGGTAGTTATCCAAATACTTTACTTGGAATTTTGCTTCACCTGATCTATGCCACTTTGTAAACGACTCCCCTGCTTCCCTTCCCCAAATCAGGAGTTAAAATGTAGATGGACAATTAAGCATCTATGGTCTTGGTGATGAGTGGGATGGGATGGAGCGGGGTACAGCAGAGACTTAGAGAATTAAAGCTTCTAACTGGATGAACGAAGACTCATTTTTTCTTTTTGTCTCTCCCATGTATGTCTTTGTGCCTGTATGTCCTCAGACTCCAGAAGCCCAGACAGCTCCTCTCCAAATCCCCTTACCCAGGGACCCCCTCCCCCTTCTCCTCCTGGGCCGCCCCTGCCTCCTTCGGCAGTCCCATCCCTTGGAGGCACTGGGGCTCCACCACCACCCCCGCTGCCACCACCTCCTCTGGGCTCACCTTTCCCAGTCATCAGCTCTTCCATGGGGTCCCCTGGTCTTCCCCCTCCAGCTCCCCCAGGATTCTCCGGGCCTGTCAGCAGCCCCCAGGTGAGAGGTTGTGACCTGCTTACTGCCTCTCCACTTCAGTTCTTTTTGACCCCAGATCTTTGTAGGGTCCACTTTCCTATGGCCCCTGACCTTCTAGTCCTCTAATCTTGATAGAACCTTGTGGTCCTTTGAAACTTCTTGCCATTCTTGAAGTGGCTAACCTTTTAGTGCATGCTAAAAGGACCCTGGCATTTGTGATGCCCTTTTGATACCATCTGCTCTTTTAAGGCATATGCCCCTCAGTGCTGCTGTGTTGCAGTTTCAGGGAGCACTATTTATTCTCTTTGTTATTGTAAATAATACTCTCTGGAATGTGCAATGCAGGCCCTATTCAATTGGGGAGGGAATGATTTTCACCATCTATGATTGGCTCCTCCCAAATGAATCTCCCTGTGACTTCCCTATTTGCCTCATCCCAGATTAACTCAACAGTGTCACTCCCTGGGGGCGGGTCTGGCCCCCCTGAAGATGTGAAGCCACCAGTTTTAGGGGTCCGGGGTCTGCACTGTCCACCCCCTCCAGGTGGCCCTGGGGCTGGCAAACGTCTGTGTGCAATCTGCGGGGATAGAAGCTCAGGTATGAGGCTCAGAAGACCAGCAAAGGGGAGGAAAGAGTGTGGGTTCCTTCCTATCACCTGTGGGATTCCCAGGGGCTATGGGATCAGGTTGGGGTAAATGAGCTGGGGAAGACCTGATGAGAATTAAGGAGCCTGAAGCTAAGGCGTGGGATAGGGTGTGGGAGGGAAGGTGGAACTGAGATAGAGATTTGAACAATGAGAGAGACAGAACTGCATCATCCCTCACTTGATACCCCATCACTGGCAAACACGGGGAAGACTTAAATTGAGCTTTGCCTGTGGAGGTTGATCAGAGATTTGATGGTAATAGGCTCTCCATGCAACCTTCTTAACTGCTTTCTCCCTCTCCCCTGTAGGCAAACATTATGGGGTGTACAGTTGTGAGGGCTGCAAGGGCTTCTTCAAGCGCACCATTCGTAAGGACTTGACCTACTCATGCCGGGACAACAAGGACTGCACAGTGGATAAGCGCCAGCGAAACCGCTGTCAATACTGCCGCTATCAGAAGTGCCTGGCCACAGGGATGAAGAGGGAGGGTAAGGGGCTGACCCCATCCTTTCCCTTTCCATCCTGTAGGAGAAAAGAGGGAAGAGATAGAGGGAAGATTGGAGAAAATCCAGCTTTTTACCTCTGAAGAAGACTGTACTGTTCCTTCTCTCTCCTCCAGAGGGCGATGTTTCATTTCTCCATCCCCTCATTAGCTCTTTGTGGGCTCCTGACCTGGTCTTAAAATTTCCTTTTTAGTAGTTCTCCTTCTCTGCTCTGGCCAGTTTCTATGGCCTCTCCTTAATCTGGGGTAAGATAATTTTTCCTTTCCCGTGATGAGCGTCTTTATCTCCTTTTTTGCAATCCACATATTTCTTTTTTTTTCTTTGATGCTTTCTGTCTCTCATAATCTATAGTCTCTACCTTTTAAGCTACGGACATAACTGAAGATCCTCAGGGCTTTCTTTCCATCCATCATCTTAAGTCAGATTCATGGAGTTCTGAGAGAATTATTAGAAAATATCTTAGTCAAATTTCATTTTATGGAAGATGTGCATGAGGCCTATCAGGAAGATAAAGTGACTTCCCCAAGACTGTGTAATAAAAGAGTAGCAGGGCTGGGACCAGAGTCTGAATCTCTGAAGTCCATTCTGGTGTTCCTTTTATGGCTTCTTTGTTGAATCAGAAGATCCTGGGGCAGTCACATGTGGTAAATTTGGGAATGTTATTTAACTTCTCTAAACCCTGAATTCTCCATCTTTAAAATAGGAAACAGTTGTTTACTGATCAGTGTAATGATTGAGTGAATGTTATAGCATATTTAGTTTAAATGCTTGTTCTAGTTTTCACTCTAATTCCATCATCTTCTTGGTTTCTTCTCCTTGACTCATTAGTTACCATTTCTACCTGACTGTCTCCAGTCTACTGTTTCTAGTGATTTCCCCAATTCATATAAATGTCTCTTAAAGGCTGTAAGACCCTTATCAGGCACTTAAGGACATATTTGAACCCCTCATGACTGGCTCTTGACTGTCCACTTTTCTCCCCCTTCCTCCCAGCGGTACAGGAGGAGCGTCAACGGGGGAAGGACAAGGATGGGGATGGGGATGGGGCTGGGGGAGCCCCCGAGGAGATGCCTGTGGACAGGATCCTGGAGGCGGAGCTTGCTGTGGAGCAGAAGAGTGACCAGGGCATCGAGGGTCCTGGGGGTACCGGGGGGAGCGGCAGCAGCGTGAGTGATGGGATCAATTCACTCTCTGTTTATGTAGGGGGGAGGCCTCCTTGGGGGAGGGAATGTAGGTCTGCTCAGGGTCCCTCTCCTTCCTCCCCATCACAACCTTCCTAATATTGCCTGGCACAGGAAGTGCTGACAGACAAGCTCTTTCAAACCTTTGAGGTGGGTGTGATAGCTTCCTTCATCCCTATCCCCAAAACAATCCACTGGCAGAGCCACAAGCAAGTCTCAAATAAATAATCGTTTACACGATTGCTGGAAGAGAAGCTTAGTTTACAGGGATTGGCTCAGATGGGACTTGAAGGAAGTCTGCAGCGTAAGGAGGAGAGTAAAAATACTCTTACAAGGGGGATTTCACCAGATGCTCTGCCAGGGAAGGAGGGACAATCTCCTCCTGTACCACTCAGATCTGATTTGATGGTACACTCACACAAAATAATAATAATAATAATAAAAAAATAACAAGAGGGATTTCCAGTACACTTCCAAACTTTCCATAATTTTTACTTCCTATCTCTTGTAGCCAAATGACCCTGTGACTAATATCTGTCAGGCGGCTGACAAACAGCTCTTCACGCTTGTTGAGTGGGCAAAGAGGATCCCACACTTTTCCTCCTTACCTCTGGATGACCAGGTCATTTTGCTCCGGGCAGGTCAGTGACCTCAGATCCCTTTGCCTTCTTGACACTTAGCCCCTCCTTGACCTCGTGACTGAGTGACCCGAGTGGCCTTAACCTTGCACACTCAGCGAGCCTAGCTCACTGACCTTGCCACCTCTTCTTCTCTTCTCTTTCCTTGAATTCCGTGGCCTGATCTCTGGCTCCTGCCCCTTGCTGCCCCTAACCCAGGGTGGAATGAGCTCCTCATTGCCTCCTTCTCCCACCGATCCATTGATGTCCGAGATGGCATCCTCCTCGCCACAGGTCTTCATGTACACCGAAACTCAGCCCATTCCGCGGGCGTGGGAGCCATCTTTGATCGGTCAGTGGCCCTTGGCCAGGCTGGCCTGGCCTGTAGGTAGAGGGGGTGGGGCTATAGGCTGGTCCGTGTCCAAGGCTGGCTGAGCTGTGACCTTTGAGTGACCTGCAGGTCCCTCTCCAGGGTGCTGACAGAGCTAGTGTCCAAAATGCGTGACATGAGGATGGACAAGACAGAACTTGGCTGCCTGAGGGCAATCATTCTCTTCAACCCAGGTAAGAGGAGGATTACCCTTGTCTTTCAAGACCAAAGCAACCTTGGAGCCTCTTCTAAGTTACCCAGCTATTCCCCTTAAGTAAGACCCTTAACCTGGAAAGTCTAACTGACCATGAAAAACCCACATCTGCTAATACATTCCCTATCCAACCCCATCCCACAAACCCAGTCCCCCCCCTCTGTTGCACATCTAAGAGACTTGAAGTTCTACTTTCTTTGGCAAGCATCTGGGGATGGGCAAGTGGGTGGCACCTGAAATAGAAGTCTGTTGGCCACATCTGCATATCCGACCTGATTTGATATGCCTTTCTTCTTCTTTTCTGCCGTCGCAGATGCCAAGGGCCTTTCCAACCCCAGTGAGGTAGAGGTCTTGAGGGAGAAAGTATATGCATCACTGGAGACCTACTGCAAACAGAAATACCCTGAGCAGCAGGGACGGTGAGATGAGGCATAGGAGTGAGGGATTGTGGGTATTGAGACTGGGGCGGTGGTTGGGAGAGACACACACTTAGGGACTGCCCTAAGGGTGTATTCAGGCCTCATGGTTTTAACTCTCTCTCCCGTCTCCCACTCCTTCTGCAGGTTTGCCAAACTGCTACTACGTCTTCCTGCCCTGCGGTCCATTGGCCTCAAGTGTTTAGAGCATCTGTTTTTCTTCAAACTTATTGGTGATACCCCCATTGACACCTTCCTCATGGAGATGCTTGAGGCTCCCCACCAGCTGGTTTGAGCCTGGATCCAAACGTGGTGCTCTTCACACAAGAGGAGTGCACATCCAGAAGAGACTCTGGGCCCTGGGGCAGGGTGGGAAAGGGCCACTTTCCCAGACGCTTGAGGGGTAAGGAGTGCTGGACCAGAGCTGAGACTTCCAAGGGGGGCAATAGTTGTCCTCCCTCCCAACTTTTCTAAATATCTCAAGTCAGAGGGGACTCCACATCCCTTTAAGGGCTGAGCCTCTCTCTGTGGTGAGTCTCTCGATTTGTTGGGGTCTCCTATGATTCAGGGTGATTTCCTAACCTGCAATGGTCTCTACCCCAGCACAAAGCACTGGCCTTGCTCCCGGGACCTGGCTCCTTTTCTTAACTAGATTCACTTAACTTCCTCATCTGAAGAGTGGAAATGGGGAGCACCCCAGAAATGGGATATTGGGGGGCAGGCCCCCCAAACTGATGTACACCAGAGTAGGACTCTGACAAGCCTTCCCCCTCCTAAAGCTAGCAGCTGGGCCATTCTGGGAGAGGGAGAGGGTCCTGTCAGTGTCTTCTGCCTGGAGTCTCCTTTTGCACTCACCACCTTCTGCAGTCAGACTGAAAAATAAAAATGTAGTGGTGGTTAAGGGACAGTGGAACCTATTTGCTATTTTTAATTTTCTCTGAAGATAGAAACTTGGAGTTGGACTCAAAAGAAGTACTGTACCTCCTCAGGTCGACTAAGAAATGCCAGTGGTGGAGGTGGGTTTTTGGGAAAGGCAGGGCCCCCAAGGTCATCTGTACCTGGGGCCCTCCAAGCACTGGCCTTTTCCATTCCCTCCCCCGGGCTTCTCATGTCTTTACTCTGGGTAGAGGGAAAGGGCCTGGATTTTGATGCCCTTAGATAGGGCTGGGAGAGCAGAGTACTGTTTGAGGAGTGCAGTCTTTGGGACCTTCCTTTCACAGCTACTCTCTGCCTTGGGCACACTGGTGTAGGATGGGGACAAGAACCCTGGCCTGAGAATTGAGGGGAGGTGATCACCCAGAAGAGGTGGATTGATGGGGCTGCATGATTTTTGCCCAGCAGCTTTTCTCTTTGGGTTTCCTTTCCCCTTTCTCTTACATACATAAAATCGCTTTCAAATTAAAATCACTGCTTTTCTGGGCTGGGGTAACCGTATGGGGGGGGGGCAGCACCGCAATGATCTTGGGGGCTATCTCCGGTAAGGAGCTCCGGACACATTCCCCAGGCTCTGCTTCCTAGGTTCTCTGGGGCCCGAGAGGAAAGCACAGGGTGGGGGAGACAAGGCATGCTTTGTGGGGGGGTTATGTGTGCCAGGCTTGGGGGCGGGGCCGACCCAAGCCGGGACAGGAGGGGGGCAGCTCTTCTCAAAGGCGCGCCTTGTTCCCCTGTGCGCTCCCAGCGCCAGCAGGCGGCGGCGCCTCGCTCGGGCCCTCGCTCCGGCCGCACCTCGGGCTCCGGGCAGACCCGGCTCTGTGCCCGCTCATGGGGGCGTGCTAGGTGCTCGGTGTGGCAGCCTTTACGGGGAACTGCCTGCCTGCAGGCGCTCCCACGTCCCTGGGTGACCCTATTTGCCCGAACTACCCCAACTGGTGTCGACCTTCCCTTGACTCTTAAAAGTATCAGTATCTCCACCTGGGAGTCCCTGACTCCCTTACCTAGTTCATCCATTTTCATCCCTTTGGGCCAGAGTAGCTGCCCAATCCTCCCCCTTCCCTGTTGTGGCATTGCGGGTCTCCAGTCTCTATCTATAGTCTCATCTATAAATACCCTAGCCCAAGGCCCTGCTCTGTAATTACATGGGGCGGGGCGAAAGGAAGTAATTACCGAGACTTGATGGGGGGGGGGCGGGCTGGCGACCCCCTAGGACCGCCTCTTCCCTCCCACTGCATCCTAAATCCCGCCCAGGCCCTTGCCGGAAAAAAAGGGGTGCTGGTCTCCAGTGGGGTGGGAGGGGGCCTCTGACTGGACATCAGGGTTCTAGAAGAGGAAGGGGCTAGAAACGAGTTACCTGGGTTCTGGAAGAGACTTTGAGGGTACAGTTTACAGTTTACGGAGGTGCTGCAGGAGAGCACTCTAAGGGTCAGCAGGGGAGGGCTCTGTCCCGCACCCCCAGGTGGAGACCGAGGGTGGGGTTTCCCTCTTGGTGGCAGTGGGCGGGCGCCGGAGGCGGGGGCTGGGCCGGGGGCGTGGGCGTGGTGGGGGCTCTCGGCCACTGGGGTGGCCGGGGACACACAAGAGCAGCGGCCTCAGCCACCGAGGAGGGAGCTGTCGCACCGAGTCCCGACGGCGCCTCGCTGCATGCAACTGGGCTGCTGAGAACTGTCCAACAACCGGTGGCCTCCAACACCTGGCGTCCGAGGCGCCCAGCCGGACGCCCAGCCGGCGCTCCCCTGCCAGCCTCGGACGTCCGGCCATGGAGCCGTGCAGCCGCTGCCATCGCCTTCTCCTGCTGATACCACTGGTGCTGGGGCTGAGCACAGCCCCCACCTGTGCAGGTAAGAGGAGTCAGGACTCTTGGGAACAAAGTTCCAGATCCCTAAGGAGAGACAGCAGCTGTTGCTGTTCAGAACTGAGGAGGGTCTCCAAGGATCCAGGAAGTGGGACAGAGTACCCAGTTCCTTGGACCCAGGTAGAGATCTCTTTCTCTTCATGAAGTGACATGGAGAGAGCAGGTAAGGCTAGAAGATGGCAGATCACCTTTAAGAATCTCAGCAGGACCACAAAGTTGGTTCCCTAGGATAACTGAGATGGCTTGCCTTAGTCTGGTCCAGTCTGGTGCTGAGCTGGGAGTGAGAGCAGTAGATAGTAGAGATAATGATGGGTGAGAGTTGTGTGTATGTGCTGTGTGTATCTGCTTCTGGATTCTGAGTCACCCTCCTTAGGATAAGTGGAAGTGTCTGTAGTCTGAGTAGATCTTAGTAAGTTGGGAAGGAAGGGATGCCCAGACTGTCTCACCGGCTTCTGTGGTTGCATCCCCCTCCCCCTCCCTGTGCCCTCGATGCTGCCACGCGGCTGGCTCTGGGGAGCACTGGGGCTGACTGCCAACAGGACGGCGGCCGGACAGGCGGGGATCAGGTGTCTGAGGCTGGAGCCAACTCTTTGCATTCCTGCTCCAGTCCTCCCCCTCTGGCCAGTTAGGCTCCCCTGGGACCCTGATGCCCACTACCCCAATTTTTTTCCTCCTTTTTCCCAGGACTGAAAAGTCTTGCTTCATAGCATAAGGGATTTAGTGTCAGAGAAGGGGGAGCTGGAAGCACCTGGATGCTAGGTAGGCCAGAGCAAGGTCCTTACTTGTGGGGACTGAATTGAGTATAACTTGACTATTCATTTCTTCTCCTTTAACTGGAGAAAATAAAATGACCCAAATGGCAGCATAATGGGTTAGATTTTATTACAGAAAGAGCTTCTACTATGAGAGGAGCGTGAGACACAGGGCCAGAAAAATAACATGTATAATGTCTTTGTGTTATTGTGTTCCATTGTTGGAAACAGCTTATAGCTGACCGCCCCAGTGGGTGATTTTTAGAGGCAAATAATGGGAGGAGGTTGCCCATATTACTCCTGCAGAACAACTGGTGGACTTGAACCAGGTGCTTTTGGAATTGCAGTACAGCTTCTTACCACTAGGCCACCAGAGTGCTGTATAATGTCTGTGGACTCTAGAAATCTTTCTTAGCTGAGAAGGTGACTCACTAGCGTGGAGGCAGGAGGATGGCTGAAAGAGCCTGTCTCATATTTTGGGACTGGGCAAGTGGGGGTGAGACTCTCAAAGGAAATGGATCACTATGGAATTCATAAGATTAAAGAATGAACCTCATATCTGACCAGGAGTTTGTAGGGAAGAGGTAGGGAGACCCCACGACAGCAAGACAGTGGGGCAGGTATGTAGCTAGAGGAGAGAAGACTATGGGTGGACGTGAGGGTAGGTTGTCTGTCGGACTGAGCTGTACTTTCCTGGGGTTTGGTTGAGGTGGGGGCCTTCTGAGGTCTCCTTGGCCTGGGGTCTCAGTGAGTCTCTGTGTCTCTGCTACACTCACTCCCGGTCTCTCAAAGCTGCCCTTGTGTGTTGGTGTTTGCGGAGCCGCCACATGCGGGGGCTGGTCTCCGGCGGGGGTTGGGGGGGCAAGGCGGTGGTTTCCAGGCTCCTGGACTCAAAGGGCCTTTTCTCTGCCTGCCCGCTCCACCTCACCCACTCCACCCAGCTCTGCCCTCCTGATTGCTCTGGCCCCTACCCTGGACCACACTTCCATGAAAGTTTTGCTGGAACTCTCTTTGGGATTTGTCCAATCAGCAGCTGCTGGTGTGAGCAGTGTGTGTATTTGGGGACAAATAAGGGAAGAGAGCTTGTCTTTCTTTTGCCTTCCAGAGAGTTTGAACCCCAGAAAGCTGAGTTCTAAGTGACCAAGGCTGGTAGCCTGGGTCTTGAATCATTGAATCCTGGGGTGATGGGGGTGGGGTGGGGCTGGGTTGAGGTTCCAGGTGTGGGGAGCTTGCCTGGGTTTTGGGCAAGGACTCTGATGGGATACACAGATGTGTGGCTCGGGGCCCTGGACCTGCTCCATCCTCTGCGTGGCAGATTCAGGCTCCCCCCTCCCACTGCTCCTCACCCAGCATCTCCCAGTCTAGGGGGCACAGGCTCTTGGGGTGGCTCTTTCTTGTGTCTTCTTCCTGGGTTTATCCGTGTTGTCCCCACTTACACAGCTGTGAATGTATAGTGACTGAAGCACCGTCCCTACTGAACTGCCTGTGTGCTCCCTTCCTGGTGCCCCCACCTCCCATGCGTGCCCAGGATGATCGATTGCCCAGATGTTGTTTATGCTGGAGGTGGGATAGAAGCCAGAGACCTAGAGAATGAGAGATACGGAAAGGGAGTAAGAAGGAGAGAAAAATAAAAAGAATAAGATGAACTAGATAGAATGTGATGGGGATGGAGGAAACAGAGGCTTAAGGAAACAGACCAAGAGATACAAAGAGAATACACTTAATAGAGAATGGAAGAAGGATGGGGAGTTCAGATTTTTTTTTTCTCTTAAATTTTATTAATTCTGTTCTTGTTGAGAATACACAGCAAATACACCAATCGTGAGAATACACCAGGTTAAGAGCTTCCACATCTATAGTTTACTGAT